TTTAAATGTAATTCCAGTGCTTTTGGAATAGCACCCAGTGTGCCAATTACCACTGGAATTACCACTGCTGGTTTGTGCCATAGTCGTTGAATTTATATATATATATATAATTTATATATAATTTATATTTATTTCTAAAATAATTTCAGCTTGCTCAAGCAAGAGCTTGCTTACCTGTTTTGAGGGTGAGGATCATTCATATTGTATACTGTAATATTTTTAATTTTTTTCACAACTGCTGTATAATTATTAGTTGTATAATACAGTTAAACATTGTAGCAAGTAGCAACACATAACATTTGAATTAAACATAGTTCTAAGTTTAATTTTTTAAAAATAACTTTTACTCATTACAAAAATATAGAAAAGGAATGGAAGAATCAAGCTAAAACTTTGAGAGTAGAGAATAAAATATTCCTAAGCCTGAGCCCTATTATTCCAGTTTCTACATATTTGGTACAGGTCTAAAGAGGCCACAAAATGGCAACTATTTAGTAACACTCATTTTTGAAATAAAAACCAGGGGAGCAAAGCTTTACACAAAACCATCAGATGTGGATCACCTAAATGACAAATAAGTAGGGGTGTTTTTAAAAAAAAAACAATATGGATTTTTTACTTTTTCTAAAAAATAAAAATATTTCTTTAAAAACCCCTACATCTCACAAATGAAGAAAGATAATACAAATGTGACTACTCGATCACTTTTTATATGCAAAACCTTTACCAAATTTACTTCACAGTATAGATACAGTGTTTGTAGTTTACAATTAATGTAGCTGGCATCCAGTTTCCAATACAGGTAGTCCTCGACTTACAAGAGTTCACTTAGTGACCCTTCAAAGTTAGAACGGCACTGAAAAAGTGACTTATGACCATTTTTCACACTTATGACCGTTCCAGCATCTCCATGGTCCCATGATTCATATTTGGATAACAGACAACTGACTCACATTTATGAGGGTTGCAGTGTCCTGGGGTCATGTTTTGCATCCTTCTGGCAGGCAAAATCAATGGACAAACAGATTCACTTAACCGTGTTACTAATTTAAGAGCTGCTGTGATTCACTTAACAAATGTGACAAGAAAAGTGGTAAAATGGGGCAAAACTCTCTCAAGAAATGTCTCACTTAGCAACATAAATTTTGGGCTGAATTGTGGTCGTAAGATGAGGACTTCTTGTATCATGTCTTTCAAAAAAGGCAGTGTTTCCTTTATCTTTACAATTCTGCCTATTGATGATCCAGAGTTTGGTAGTTAAATTTTCATACCTGTACAATAGTATTTTAACTCTATCAGAAAGTACTTCTTTGTACCCAAAGCCATTGCTTCTTTTGTGTCTTGAGAGTCAGTAACTGAGGCAAGAACAGTAAACAGCAACAGTTTATTAACAGAACTGTCAACAGGCAAAAAGCGAGCAAAACCCCGTCTGACAGCTATTTATACTTGTAGCTGTCAGACGGGAACCAATGGAATGTCCTCATTTGTCCCGCCGGCCGCTAGGCGCGTTTTGGCCGATCAGAGGTGCTTCACACAGCGCCATCTGTTGGCCACGTTGGGCAGAACACAACAGCTTCCATTAACGCAGGTTCACATTTGGCAGTCTTTGTTAAAATATTGCAAACAACGCCAATCCTCCATTTTTTTTCTGAGATATCATCATTATTATTGCCCTTGGGTTAGTCCAGGCCAAAACTGGGTGGTTCGTTTCATCTGGCGTGAATTAGTTAGCCAATAATCAGACAGAGATGAGTAGAAACATATTAAGAACTTTCTTTCTGTACAGAAGTCAAGAACTAATGTTTGGGATTAGAGCAGAGGTGGGTTCCTACCAGTTTGCACCAGTTCGGTAGAACCGGTTCGTCAAATCTACCACAGGCCACACCTACAGAAGAGGTTCCAAAATTTTTTGAAACCCACCACTCACACACACAAACACACACACAGACACACACAGAGAAAGAGAAAGAAAGGAAGAAAGAAAAAAAGAAAAAAGAAAGAAAAAGAGAGAGATGAAAG